AGGAGTAAGGTCAGCGTACACACTATCCTCCACATACCCCACTTGTGAGGTTTTACTGAGTTGTTGTTAGTATTGTTGTAAGCAAAGTGAAGATATATGTGTGATTACAAATGTTCATAGAAACATCTTAAAATGAGCGAACTTATCTGATTTTCCTAAAACGAAAGAGAAAGAGCATATATAGATTATAGACTATAGTTAAGATCGAAATCCATGGCTTTAGCAGAAATTATTTCGTTTCCTCTCTTTTGTTGCGTTTTCTCTTCTTTAGAGGAAATAAAAAAAATTGGTGGAAAAAAAGAAAGAAAGGAAAGACATTTTTTCTAATTTGGTACTCCGGCCCTCTTATTTCCCAAGAGGAAACTTAATTTATTTTATTTTAATGTTGGTTGTCTTCAGACGAACTAACCTTTTGACAATTATTGTAGGGATTATTTTGACAATTATTAAATATTCATCGACTATTTTTAATTAGTTTAAGAGATTAGGGCGGTTATTTGGGTTAATTCTTCATTATTTAACTATTTTAACCAATAGGCATCCACTCCATATGTATATCTTTTTCCACCAATAAAGTTCATATAACTTTTCAATAATATATCACCAACTGAAATATATGAAAAAAAGAACAAAAGCAGATAACTTCTAAGTTCCAAGATTTTTATATGGACAAAAATAAAATCCTTTCAAAGAGAAAAAGCAGACTAACTTAGTAGTCAATTATGGCCAACTTAAAAAACGAGACATCGACTCCTCTTAAATCTTGAAGAAAAATCATACTTGTATAGTTGTATGTTTGTTTTCCATTATGGGGACAAAATATATATAAATAGTTAGGTAAAACATACATAGCATATCTTACTAGTCAAATTGGCTCGTGTGTTCGTGACAGCTCTTCAAATATATTGCTCCTTCTTTGGTCAACTCCATGCCAATTTATACTTTCTACCCAATCATCTTGTTTAGTTTTGATCTTGAAAAATAGTTTTTTTAATGATTTTTTTTTTGAATTATAATTATACAAAAAAGTTGTGTCTTTCAATCAGCTTCAAAAGAGCAATTTATGCAAAATACCAATTGAACTTAAACTGTTTATCTTTCTCTGCCCATTTAAAAATTAGTAATTACAATATATACTTATCCAATTAAAACTAATTAGCCAACCTACCTATTCATTCCAGTTTTCTTACCCATTTAGCTTAACGTAGCTTAATTTGGCTTGAATTGGTTGGGCTTGGTTTGGATTGAATTTTGGCTTGATTTGATTTGGCTTGAGTTGGCTTGATTTTAGTAGCTTAGTGACTTTTTTTATTGTAAGGGTCGGGCATTAAAGGAAAAATGGGTACGAGAAAAACTTTATGAATAGGGACGGATAAATAGTTTATCCATGCCAATTCAGACTTTCTACCCAATCATCTTGTTTAGTTTTGATTGATTTAATTTCTTGAAGAATTAGTTTTTTTAATGATCTTTTTTTAGATTATAATTATACAAAAAGAAGTTGTGTCTTTCAATCAGCTTTTCTAAAATATATTTTTGAGAAATTCTGGATTTTATTGTGTTATGAATTTGGCCACGGTGATGGACCCATTTGAGAACTTGTTATATTATATTTTGGACCCTGATTAAAAGAAACACGTGTATTGTGAGAAGATGACTCTATATATCACCAACAAGGATTGTGGTAGAGTGGTAAATACTCCATTTCTGTTCATTGTTAGGGAGCGTTTTACCCCCTAATTGAAATTTCCTGGCAAATAGCCGGATCAGGTTTAATCGAGTCCCAATACGATTACCGGACACCGTGTGAAAAGCACAAA